AAAAAAAAAAAGGTGGAGCTGAGCTGTTTCATCATCTTTCCTTTTGCTATGAACGCATTCTGCACAATTTTGCACCACTGTCCCCTTCTTTCTTAGTAGAGACCATCTCTGTGTGTGAGCAATTATGGGGAATCCTGGAAAACAGTGTAAGTCATTGGGAGTGCCATGTGCATGACACTCCAAGTCCATGTGCCAAAAAGGAAATATGGTTTGTATCACTTCCTTGTGAGAATTAGGGCTGAGGACACAGTACTACTCATCTGACTACTGACTCTGGTTCCTTTTCTAAGTTTTGCTTCATGGCTCTCCTGTAATGCATTCTTACGCAGAGAGACAGGGAGTCAAGCTGTCTGACTCATATTTGCCATTTACTCACTTGGATGATCCTGAGTCTGTGTCATGTCTGTGTCTAAGTCTCACTTGTAAAATGGGGATCTGGCCCAGTAGGACATGTGAAGATCACTGAAACGTGAAACTCATGTTGAGCTACTCGGCCAAGAATATATAAACACATGGTAGCTTTGCATCTAAGGTTTTTTTCTTTCTTTTTCCTTTTCCTTTTTTTGAAACAGGGTCTTGCTCTGTTGCCCAGACTGGAGTGCAGTGGTGTGATCATAATTCATTGCAACCTTCATCTCCTGGGCTCAAAAGATCCTGCTGCCTCAGCTGTCCAAGTAGCTGAGACTACAGGCATCCATCACCATGCCGATCTCATTTTTCTATTTTTAAACTTTTTTTGGCCATGGCTGGGTTTGAACACACCACCTCTGGCATATGGGGCTGGTGCCCTACTCTTTTGAGCCACAGGCACCACCCTATTTTTAAATTTTCATTTTATTTTATTTTGTATTTGAGATATAGTCTCTCTATGTCAGTTTTGGGAGAGTACAGTGGTGTCATGGTAGCTCACAGCAACCTGAAAATCCTGGGCTCAAGTAATCTTCCTGCCTCAGCCTCCAGGTAGCTAGGACTATAGGCATCTACCACTGTGTCTGGCTAATTTTTCTTTTCTTTTCTTTTCTTTTTTTTTTTCCTAAGACAGAGTCTTGCTCTATTGCCCTGAGTGGAATGCCATGGGATCATCATAGGTCACAGCAACCTCATTCTCTTGGACTCAGACGATTTTCTTGCCTCAGCCTCCATGTAGATGGGAGTACAGGTGCCTGTCACAATGCCCAGTTAGTTTTTTTTCTATTGTAGTAGAGACAAGGGTCTCACTCTTGCTCAGGTTGGTTTTGAACTCCTGAGCTCAAGCTATCCTCCTGCCTCAGGCTCCAAGAGTGATAGGATTACCGGCGTGAACCTAACCCCTGGCTTAAGTTTTGTTGTGTTTTGTTTTTTAAGCATTACATATTTTTTTAATTATTTATATATTTATTTTATTTCAGGTTAATGTGATGGTACAAACAACCAGGTAAAAATACTTTAATTTGTTAGGTAGACTCCTTCTTGCAGTTCTGTCCCACACTTAAAAGGTATGCCAAACACCCCTGCAGCATGCCCGTTCAGTGGGAACATTTTTAATTTTTTTTGTAGAGACAAAGTCTCACTGTGTTGTCCAGGCTGGTGTCAAACTCCTGGCCTCAAGCAATCTTCCCACCTTCACTTGTCAATATGATCACAGAAGTGAGCCACTATGCCTGGCTTATAATCACCTTTTTGTGTATTCTAGCCCCACAGGAAACCCCAAGTCAGCCGCCAGATACCTACTCATTGGTAAACAAAGTTAAACGTAAGAAGAATGTTTCTATCCCAAGCTACATTGAACCTGAAGATGACTATGACGATGTTGAGATGCCTTCAAATACTAAAAACCATCATTTTGAAACAACTATTTCTTCTTTTTGGCAAGCTGAAGAGGGTTCACACAGCTTATTTTAAAACAATCAGAATGGTTGAACTTCACTAGGTCTTCAGGTCCTGAAAACCAGTGGTAATTTATGAAACTCTAAGATAAAGCACTTCCTGAATGAACATTATGTGAAGACACCTCAGAGATCAGGCCCTGGAGACAAAGAGGGGTCAGCTCTGTGCATCTGTTGAGGAAGTGTTCATGGGGAGGACCACTGGGCTCCACGACTCCCATCTGCAAGAAATTACTCATATTTGGGAATGCTTTCCCCTTTCCTTCCCTTGGTTTGCATGGTTCTAAGTGATCTTAAATCTTGGTGTTTGATTACACAGAACCTCCCAGGCTTCCATCCCCAGCCAAGCCCTTGCCAAGCACACTGGTCTTCCCCACTCCCAGCCACCTACCTCCTGCACCAAGAGGCTCTGGGTGGCAGTTACAGCTGAGTGCTCTTGTGCGCAAGACCCCACGCCACATCTTGTGAGTTTGTCAGGACAGGAAATACTTTTTGTTCTTGTGAGTCCTCTCCACCTACACACACACCAACCCACCCCAGTACCTTTATATGATATAGGCCTTACTGACCACAGAGATTCAAGCTCTGGCCTAGGTTTTTCCCCATGCTTACAGGTTGCACTGTAATATTCAATAAAGGACAAAAGTTAACTTCTGATTTACACCTAGAGGTGTCATTTTGCAATTGGTGTGTTTGGGGTGCCACAGGAAAAGTTGGTTCCCCCATGAAAAATCAAGGGGAATTGGAAAAAGAAGAGCCTTTTAACAATGTCATATTCAAGATGAGAGTTCACAGAGCTTAACATCCCTGTTCTATAATTTTCATTATTGCTTCTTCTTTTACCTCAAGTTCTATGAAAACATCCTCAATCCCTTCCTTCCAGATCACTGTCCCTGAGCACCTGGGAGGCAGAAATTCCACTGTGGTGTCTTGCAGTCAGTGAGACACAGTGCAGGGGGCTGCTATCTACTTTGTAGGCTCCTACACCTCACCAATTCCTAGATCAGCTAGAGCTCTAGGACTTGACTCATTCTAACCATATCCCCAAGATGCTGTTTTCTAAACAATATCTGGGAAATTTGGTTAATGAGCAGGCTTGCCAAGAGAGCACCATGAACTGGAAAGGCCTGGACATGACCTTCATACTGAGCTTCTCCTCAAGAGAGGGGAAATGTGTTCTTGCCACATTCAAGCTTTCCCACTCAACAAGTGCTGGAATAGTGGGGACATTTGCTTCTTCCTGGCTTTTTCTTTTTAGACTCCATGGTTCCAACTTTCCGTTAATACTCTCTTTTTTCTTTCTTTCTTTGTTTTTTTGTTTGTTTGTTTTTGTTGTTTTGTTTTGAGACAAAGTCACTCTCTGTTGCCCAGGCTAGAGCACCATGCTGTCAGCAACCTTAAACTCCCAGGTTCAAGTGATCCTCCTGTCTCAGCCTCCAGAGTAGCTGGGACTCCAGGTACCTGCCATGATGCCCGGGTAATTTCTCTATTTTTAGTAGAGACGGGTTCTCAACTCATGCTGCTGAGGTTGGTCTTGAGCTCCTGAGTTCAAGCAGTCCTCCTACCTCTGCCTCCCAGAGTGCTAGGATTTCAAGTGAATACCTCCTTATTTTAGGCCACTTGTTCTCCAGCTATGGCCTTATAGACCCCTGGTATCCCACAAGCTAAAGAAAGGACTCTTTTCCTGAATTATAGAAGAAAAATACATTAAAGAATGAAGATGAGGCTGGGTGCAGTGGCTCATGCCTAGCACTCTGGGAGGCCAAGGCAGGTATATTTCCTGAGCTCATGGGTTCAAGACCAGCCTGAGAAAGAGCGAGACTCTGTCTCTAAAACTAGCCAGGTATTGTGATGGGCACCTGTAGTCCCAGCTATTTGGGAGGCTGAGGCAAGAGAATCACTTGAACTCAAGAGTTTGAGGTTGCTGTGAGCTATGACACCATGGTATTGTACTGAGGGTGACGAAGTGAGACTCTGTCTCAAAAAAGTAAAAGTAAAAATAAAGGATGGAGATGTTTCAAACACAGGCTGTCCTCTTATAAATTTTCTGTAAACCCTCCACACACATTTTAAAAGTAAAAATCAAATACCAAACAAATGTTAACTCCTCCTTAGTTTCTGGAATCCCACACTTTCCTGGTTCTCCTATGTCTCTGGTCTGTCTCAGCCTCATCTGTCGGCCCTACCCCCAAAGCATCTCTTCAATGTTGCTTCTCTTTGGGTTCTGTCCTCATCCTTGCTTTCATCACATTTAAACACTCATAAGTGACCAGGCACAGTGGCTCAAGCCTATAATCCTAGCACTTTGGGAGGCCGAGGTGGCCTAACACTTTGGGAGGCCAAGGTGGGAGGATCACTTGCATCCAGGAGTTCGAGACCAGACTGAGCAAGAGTAACATCCTGTCTCTACAAAAAATAGAAAAATTAGCTGGGCGTCGTGGTGGTGGTGGTGTACCTATAGTCCTAGCTACCTGGGAGGCTGAGACAAAAGAATGGCTTTAGTCCACGTGTTTGAGGTTGCAGTGAGCTATGATGCCACTGTACTCCAGCCTAGGCAAAAGATTAAAAACCTGTCTCAAAGATAAATAAAAGAAAAATAAACACTCACATGTGATCTCACTCATGCGTATGGGCTTGAGATGGGGAACTGGCAGGCCCTTCTCAATAAGAAGTCATAAGACCTGAACCAAGGTCTCTAATAAATGGGAGGCAGTGGAAAAGCCAGCCAAACCCAGCTAGAACCAAGACAGCCATGAAAAATGACCTCATATAGCCCTCACTGCTCATTATACCCTGCTTAAAATGTATGAGCTTGCTAAAGGAAACTCCCAAACAAATGCCATGAAAATGCCCAGAAGTTATCCTGTATGTTTAAAAACAGAAAAAAACACTTCAGTTCCAGGAACTCCCCACCTCTTTACCAGAAATCCTATGAATAATTCTCTCTTCACCTAACATAAAATTAAATAGAAGGTATAAAATAAGACCCCTGAAACTCACAAAGGGCTCCTGTCTGTTGCTGGGAGGGATAGCCACTGCTCTATCTATGGGGCAACCTCCCTCTTTTTCTTTTCTTACTTCGATGAACTTGATTTTGCCTTACTCTTCAGCTCGCTCTGAAATTCTGTCCTGCTCAAAATCAAGAACCCACTTGGCCCTCAGGCTGGACCCCAGTTTGAGGGTCCACTTTCCTGTATCAGACTCAGTGGCTCCCACTATTTGGATGACTCCAGCAGAGCTCTCTCTGCTCACTTGCAGACTGGGCTGCCTCCAGGACACCTTGATGTGACTGTCCCACAGGCTGCTGAAGGTCAACATATGCCAAAAGGAACCGATTACTCATCTCCCATTCCTCTTATGCCTTACTATCTTCTCAGCTGCTGAAGTCAGAAACTAGCACCTCCCTCAGCCCTTGGTTTCTAATGTTCCCCCATCTCCTGTTTGTTGCACCTCTCAAGTAGTTCTCCAATCACTTCAAATTTCTCCCTGGCTGTTCTGAGGTCAGGCCATTGCTAGCAATTCCCAAGAGAATGACGAGCCTTCTCAGTGGGCTGCCTCTGGCACCTCACCCTCCAATCCACTTTCTACAAGGCAGATGATGTTTCCTTCCTTCCTTCCTTTCTTTTTTATTGAGACAGAATCTCACTTTGTTGCCCTCAGTAGAATGCCATGGCGTCATAGCTCACAGCTACCTCAAACTCTTGGGCTCAAGTAATCCTCTTGACTCAGCCTCCCTAGTAGCTGGGACTACAGG